AATATATCATGAGAAGATATCAAATACAAGAATCTATTGCGCCAATTCTCGGATAAAACAGAAATGTTATGGTAACAATATATTATGGGTCTATCTTCGTATGAGTTGGTGATAACAAACTGTCAAAAAACTAAGTATTTTTTGCGCATCGTATACATAAATCTAATACTTCTAATGATAAAGTAGTACTTGAAATCGAAAATATTTCACGTGAAAAAATCTTATTCAATTCCGATTTACGGACAAACTAGTATCTAGCATAAATAGGTGCTCCATTTTTACATGAAAACATAAATTATTTTTTATCTAGAATAAATAACCTTTGTTCCAACGTTGTAATAAATGAAAAATTTAATACGGTAGCATTATATCAGAAAAAAATTGTCAAATGTATAAATGTTTTTTACATATAAAAATAAATTATTTGTTATGTAGAGAAAATAGCCATTGTGCCATCGTTGTAGTGAATAAAAATAAATTTAATACTCTAGCATTATATCAGAAAAAATCTATAGGTCAATTATCTCCTTTACTTTTGTTAATAAAGAGATAATGTAGAGGATAAGTACCAACACAACAACTTTTAGGACAAATAGGTCCGCATTGCTATTTGATAGGAAGAACAATGAATATCATAATAATAACAAAATTATTATAGTATTCCTTGTGCCAAGTTATTGTTTGTATATGTATATTAAAATCTTTCTAACCATATATGTCATGAAAAGCTATCAAATGGACTTATGATGGCATTCGATTAATATTGTCTATGCTAAAAACCGCTTTTTTTGAGAAAAAAAGATCCCTAGCTTATGTTATATCTATTATCTATTATAAGTCGGGTTTTCCTTCCTGACGATATAACTCAAAAACGCACGAACCGATTTCGACGATTTTGCATTCGTTGGAAAGGTCTCGGACTCCGTGAGGTTTATAGCAAAAAAATTGAAGAAAGATTTCAACAGAAAAGCGGTAAACACATTTTCTTTTTTCACATACAGCGTCATCACTGATACTTAGCGTGTACTACAAACTAATATTTATTGTTTGAGTGCTACTCATTGGTTGGACAGCTACTCATTGTTCTCTGCTCAGTTAATTTCATGTGACACACCGGCATTGTGTTCACTGTGAAATTGTGAAAAAAAAGTAAAAAAAAACAAGTTCCTAACATTTCAATTGGGAACCATCAAATCAATCACGTGTATTGTGCAAATTTTTATTCAATTTCAATAGCAGGCATTTTTTTCTTCAACTTTTAATCACCAAACGAAATGTTACATAAAATGAAAGCATCTGTTGGTGAAACGGAGTTAAAATAGTAAAACGGAGATAAAATGGTATTACGCATTTCCATAATATTAATAGATACGAGTATACAATAACAAATATATATATAAGTCAACTGTTAACTATTCAAGAAATAACAAGCTTACCAGACTAGAAAGCCACTTATTTAATATAATAATAATAATAATTATTATTATTTATAAATTACTTGCTTATTTTATCTAGAAAATTTAATATTTTTGTTAATATTATATTATCTGTTTTATTTTTTATCATCTATTTTTAATATTATAATCCTGGTTAATTCTTCGCTGTGCGTATATACTAATATTTAATCAAAGTGTTCTACTTTTGATACTGTTTTTACTTTTGATATAAATCGTTGAACTCATTGTATTGTATAAACAGATCACAGAATAAAATTATCAAAAAGTTTAATAAATAACTGTCAAATGTCAATTGATTCAAACAAAATTCATTTTGAAACAAAAAATAGTCGCGATTTGTGTAAATGGTACTATACTATGCATTATCAGTATTTATAGCAAATTTATTTTCCAAAAATACCTTATGACAAAAGTGTAGATATAAATACATATCGCAGAAAGCAATAAATTTCCACATTCACCGACAAGTGAGTATTTCATTAAACATTGCATTTCAATCGTCTCGGTGTTCGACAGTGAAAAGCTTTTGTAGGAATTAAATGGACTAAGCTCGTATCGCATTCTTGTTCCTGAGTCGATTCTTCGATACTTCGATACTGCTGCCTCTAGTTTGTTTACCTGTATACCTGTTTACCTGTATACCTGGCTGGGCCTGTGCCGGATCGTATCTGTCGCAGGGATAAAGGTAACGCGGACTGCATTCTGCATTACAAAGTACGTTCGACGACTACAAAGCTTATGTACTGACGTAGAGGAGGCGACAATGCGATTACCTCGAACACATTGGACTCGGATAAGATACACATAGACGATATCGAAAAGTTCAGACAATAAAACTTTAGACACTTTTCACGAGACGTGCTGAATACATTACTATGGTATATTATCTAATCAGTTGCTTTTGGATTTAAACAAATCAATTTTTCCTATAACCTTTTGGGCTAATTTTACTTAATACTACGTAGGTTTTATAGGTGGAATTGTATCATGTGTGATAAATTTTATTATTACAATATCTGTAGTAGGGCGAATTTTATTGATGCAACAATGCCGGATGAGAGCTAGTTTCACTTGAAAACTACTACTACTACTACTATAAATATTTCCTCTTAATTTTCTTAACATTTTTTGATTTTCTTTGAAATTTACCACTGCATCTCGCCTATAAGTCAAAATACGAAGTTGCTATGGATACCACTATACTTCATCATATATATTACGAGGTTTTAAAGTTTTTGAAAAAGTTCGGACGTAATACCATAATGGTAAATTTCAACAGCATATAAACCAGATTTCGATCTAGGAACAATATATGAACAACATATTATAATGGTTTAAATCAGTTTTTCCTAACATTTTGGATACCATATATTCTTTAATTATAAATTTAAACATCTAAAAACGGTTTTGTGCTCTTAAGAAATATAAATGATAAGCTTTTTCTAGAATATTTCAAAGATAAGCATTTTAGAAATTGTAAAAAATAATATCTAGTACAGCATTAAAATAATCGAATGTCCAAATTAACAAAATTGAATACCAAATTTGCAGGAACCCAATTAGCTAAATCGATGCAGATTTATTGTACTAATTAGTACCTATATTGTACTAATTTTGTACTATTATTTAAAAAAATATGTAGCGCTGCTTAGCTTTATATAAATTGATTTTACCAGTTTGGTCTTGCTAACTTAAGAAAGGTAGTATTAAATCCATTTCTATATTACCCCTTTCACTATGTTCTTGAATTTAAAAGGATTAATATGAGAAATTATCATTCATGAAAAAATCATAGAAATCCTAGAATCCCATGCAAATTATAACCCTAAGTACTATGTTGTTTATTTCGATTTTTGCAAACGTATTCTTTACTCAATATTGTAGCATTGATTTGCTTCTTCTATTTGAAACAAAAAATACTTTCATTTAACTTCTTTCGCAGAGTGCAATAAATCAAGTGACTCATTCATGAGACCTACTTTACTAACTTACAAACTAAGGAGATTTCTTCTAGTGCCAGTACATGTCAAAGGGGTTTTTAAACATTTAAGGCAGTCGCAAGAACTTTTTAAAAAAATAAAATCAATATTTAAGACTGAATAAAATTTTTTCTGAATATTCTAATATTAATTCGGAAATTCACATTGTAGATAATTAACTATTATCTAATGCTTAAACATTTAGGTTACCACATAGGAAAAAGTCCCCGGGTGCCGGACACCTAAGGTTATTTATATAAATAAATCAAAAAATATTTTACAAAATGTTTATTAAATTATGACTTATGTTAGATAATAAAGTTGAAAATCAAACTAAATTAACAAAAACGCAATCTTTGCTAAACAATAATTAATACTATCAATCAAACTTGGTAGCAAAAAATATGATTTTACAAAGTGGCACCTAGTACTGGACATTGCAAAATAACCAGAATTGAACACATATGTAGCCGTCACCATACTCTGGAATGTCTGCACATTTGTGTTTGACGAATATTCTTAGGTATTGCAAAAAAAATCACTAATTATCCACCCTTTTGGCTGAGTCACACCGATGCTCTCAGCTGGAGCAATCATCATAAGATTTTGATTAATTGACTAGAAAATACGAGAAATGGAGGTATGTAGTGACCGTTAGCACTCATACAGAACAAAATTAAATAATTAGAATAAATTACGTCAATTCTCACAAGAAATATTAATATGTTTACTTCCGGCACTAAGGGACGACTTAGTGTCCGGTGCCAAGGAACAGACAATTTTGTTCATTTGGTGGTACCTACTAAATTTGGTCAAAATATCGCACTACTTTTATTTTTGAATGCCACTAAAATATAAATGCATAAATACACTAGAATTACTTCCATTGATATTTTGGAGACGCCGTTTTTTTGCGTCTAAAACAATAAAGGGTTGCTCTCTCCGTGGCCGTGTACGTCACAGGTGAGTCTTGGCGCATGACCTGTGTGCCCCACGCGCCCCTTTCACTTGCATTTTGAAATAAAAAGATTTATACTTGCTTAAATAATACGTGTTAAATAGAGTGTCCGGCTTTAGGTGCCGTTCGGCGTTATGAGACTTCCCCCTACTCCAAGGTAGCGCATATAAGAAGTTCATAATTCCTATTTTGCAAATAGAAAGTGTTCAAACAAATTTATAAAATCCATTTTAACATTTAAGAAATGGATTTTATTCTGGATTAAATAGAATAATCTCATTGAAAAATTATAATATGATAATTTTTTTGAATAACTAAAATTTTTGGTGATAATATTCTATCTACTCTTATGATAGAACTGATGAAATTGTTTATGATTGACTTCATGTTTGTTCTGGAATTTCTAAATGCTTTAGAAAATAAGTTAAAAAATGTGTCTAGTTTTTTGGACAAAACATTAATTTTGCTTGCTCAAAAAAATAACAATTTTAATTTCGAATTTAATAAAATATTTATTAGATGGCATAATTTCATAAAAAAGTAAATAAAATAAATAACAAATTATTATGTTGTATTATTATTAAAATGTGTTTCTTTTGTCACCAGGTGAATTCCTATCGATGGTTTCGAGACACGCAGAGGCGTGCGCGGCCAAGGTGCACGCAGCCGAATTGGCCCCTACGGATTACGCACTTGTGGTTGGCGCCGCCACTGCTCTGCGGCTTATGGACCGCAAGTCAGAGGCGGAGTATTGGTATCGACAGGTAATTAATGAAATCGTATTTTGTAAAAGTAATTAAATAGGAAGCATGGCGTATGTTAGTTATATGATGGTATTAAAACCGTAAAATTGCTTATAAATTATTTACTTCTATGAGCATGAGTCTCACCAGATGTTGTGTTTAAGAAAAAACTAATATAGGTATTGGTATTTTCAAAATTGGTGAATAAAATATCAAACAAACTCGGTGGTGGCTAAATTTTGACAACCTAGAAGGACAACTCGCTGCATTCAAGAATTATTATACATATCAATTATGCATAAATTATTATAAATTATTTATTCTTAATTTAAGTACGTTAAGTAATACTTTGAAATAAATATAGACATTAATAACTCTGATCGTTCCTTACAATACATTGAGAAAAGGGCCTATATATTATAAAATCATTTTATCCGGATGATTAGATGGCGCAACCATTTATATAGAAATTCATAAAGAATTTAATCAATATATTTTAATAAAAATAGTACCACATTAATTGTGAATTATGTTATAAACATATCATTTTGTTTAGATCATTACAACTGATTATTGTTCTAATTCACTATTGTTATTAATAATTTAGTCCTAAGTTAGGTATGTTAAGTAATACTTTGAGGTAAAGATAGACTCTAATAACTCAATAAAAGATTGAGAGAAACGCTCATATATTATTAAATCAGCTAATCTAGATGACTATTTTATTTGCGTATACTATATAGAAATATAAAAAATAATCATAATACTTCATTGAAAAAAGTACTAAATTAAATGTGAATTATGTTATAAACATATCATTTTGTTTATATTATTACAACTGGTAGTTGTACTAATTCACTATTGTTAATTAGTTATTCCAATTCCAATGAATTCAAATTTATAAATGAGTGTCAAATATTACTGAAAGAAAACGCAGTTTAAGATATTTCAATTGATAAAACTATGCGTAAGTGGCATTTTGCATTTCAGGAATACTTAATTTTCTCGATTACTTGTAAATATCCGACTTGATTATTAAGACGTGGGATTATTAAATGTTCAAATTGCGACCATAACATATTAAAATTTTGTTACCGAAAATAACTTTAAACTTTAACAAATTTTCATAATTGATGCACTTTTCGTTTAAGTATAATATTTTAAAATGTGTACTATTATAATAAGAACTCTATCACCACATAATGTTTCATTAAAAACGCCATGAATTTTCAAAACCGGTTCAGGATTTTTATTTGAAACTTAAACGAAAAATATTGACTACTAATTATATTATAATGAAATCTGAAAATTATTTTGAACATGTTTCTACTGAGTTTTATCCAATACCTATAAAATTTTTGATATCGGTACAGCGGTTTTTTGTTAGAGGTCAAATTTTCACAATTTACACACATAATTATATTATAATAAAACTAAAAAAAATTGCTGAATGAGTCCTTGTCTAGTTTTGTCAAATAGTTAATATATTTTTGATATCGGCGTAGCCGTTTTTGGTAAAACTTTGGCGAAAAGTCAAATTTTTGACTAGCATTTACACACATCATATGAATACACATACAGAACTCATTCTTTAATTTTAATATGGTTTTATCTGTAATAACATGATCGGTATATTTTATTAATCTAAGATGTACAAGCCTGGGGAATCTTCAAAAAAAAATGGAATAACGAACTCACTATTTAACTTCAAAGAAAATCAATGTATGAAATATACATGAATCATTAAAATAAATTAGTAGATATTTGGAATAAATTTAGACTAATATTCTGATTATTTTTTCTTTTTTTTAAGGCTGTCAATTTGAGGCCCGATGACGCAAGATCTCACACAAACCTCGGTGCAATTTTGCACCTCCAGGGCCGCACCAGTCAAGCGGCCGCAAGTTACCGAGAGGCCCTTCGACTTCAACCCGGAGACCCAACAACCCTGGCAAACCTCGCCAAACTCTCAACGGCGGATGCGTAGTGTTAATATTAGAAAAAAGACAATTCATAAAAATAAAAAGAAAGCTTTATTATCCTACCAGTATATAACGCGAGCCATGTTAAAAAAATATTGAAAAAAATAAAAAATAAGAACCGCTCACTTTACCCGCCCTGTACTATCCCCAAGAAAAAAGCCTGTGTACATTATTGAATCGTCAAGTTTTGTGATTGTGCATTTGTACATATTTATATGTATGCTAAAAAGTGACTGTAAAAATTAAAAGTATAATTGGACATGAGTAAGTGTAAATTTTTATAGATAAAAGTATTACAATTTATTAAATGTGTATATATAAATATATTTATTTAAAAAAATCCATTCAGATGAATATTTAATCAGTATTGATGCATATATTTAATTTAAAAGAAAAACAAAGATACAATGTAATCATGAAATGTATGATAATACATATATATTATTCTATTTCGTCAATGACTTGCTAAAATAATTTTACATGTGTTTTATTTTTTTTTATATTTCAGGTATTTCAGGTATCTTAAATAAAATTTGAATCTGAATTATGTTTTCTCTAAATGTGAATTATACCATGGTTTTGAACTTTGTAGACTTTTGGGGATTTATAGAAGCTGTTCTATGAAACTAAGCTTTAAATTAAATAATTTTTTGAGATAATCAATAATATATCCATTCAAATAAAAAGAGCAGTGTTTCCAACCTTTTTTGCACCACGCCTCTCTGCCTTAATAGAAACAATTATTGCGTTTTTCCTTAATATTTGCAACAGTTATAAATTATTACAAATACTCAACTGATGTTAACAGACTACAAAATGCAATATATTATGTAAAAATATGCATAAAAACTAATTTTCTTGTTAATTTTTAATATCGTTCCAAAAATATTGGATAATTTTTTATAATGGTATTCTGATAACAGATGTACGCGCCCTCTTCAGTACAGCGGGACGCCCCCCTGAGTAGGCGCGCCCCACAGATTGGAAACCGCTGAAATAGGGTGTTCTATGACGTAACGGTTAAGCGCACTAACCGTATTGACACGTTGTGTCAATAGGTTGGTTGAGTTCAAGTTTTCTGTGGGCAACAGCGATCCATTTTTTATATATCAAAATATGTTTACTATTGAAAATTGCCAATTTCGAGCACTGCGGTGTAAAATAGCAATAAGAAATCTTTCAAACTCTATTTCTATGAATCGAATTATTAACCCTTTATTTATTATTATTTACATAAATAATATTTGGCTTTGCTATAATCCATATATAATATTCTGTGCAAACAACAATTAAAAATTATATTTAGCACAGTTGGATCAAGGTATTTTAATTTTTCTAAAAATTTCTAGAAAGTTTCTGAAGTGCCTCGATGCGTGTGTTAGCGACTTTATTCTACTTCTACATATTGAATAAATTAAGTAACGTCTGCGACAAAAATAGTGAAAGCTTGGAGAGAAGGGTATATAAAACACATCAAAATGGTTCGAACAGATAAAAAATGTCATTTGTTCACAATTGAGATTTATATTATTCATTAAATTAGGAAGAAAATGTGTTGTTTTATGTGGTAAGCAGAAGATATTCAAATAATGGCTACAAAAATGACCCTTATAGGTTTTTCCACATATTTTGTGATTGGAAAACACTCTCCAAAAATTTAAGTAAATTATTTAAAAAATGTATTTTTGATATATCGTTCTAATATTTTATGATAAATTGTCAGAACGTGTAGTTTTGAATGGTTTTAAAAATTATGTGAAAATAATTATTTTAGTACTATTTTATACAAAAATGTCTTCGAAAGTTTAGAATTTAAATTTGTTTATGAAAAATTGTTGCGCTAAAATCTTAAACTAGGCGTAAGTGGCATTTTGACTATAAAAAAAACAAGTTATATTACCTTTCCCATAATTTATAACTCATTTATAATTATATATATTATATAATTTAATTAATTTAAGATATTATATTATATAATTTAATAGACACACGTAAAATAGTTCCAATCTAATTTGCAACTGTTATTCGAAACACTTCCAAAAACAAATTTTTATAATTAAATCTCTTTTCGCAGCCGTGCAATATTTTAGGATAATCGTGAAGACCAAAAACAGTTTGTACCATTAGTATCGGAGAAACGGTTCTACTGATCTGTACGAAACATATACAGCTCGATTCCTAACTGATGTCTTTCGAAATTTTTGGATTTTCAAACTCACTTCGAGATTTTCGGCGAAAAAATTGAATTAAACTCTCGTTAATTTTTTTTTCTTTTTCCTTTATTTTTATTATTATTATTATCATTATTATTATTACTATTTTCATTTATTTATTTATTATTATTTTTTTCGATTCCTTCGTGTCACAGTAGCTCTCTAGCCAATAGAAATTTACCTGCAATTGACAAATTTATTTTAATGTACTGTGGCCAATGCAACAGTAGTTTTCTAATGATATTTAAAAGATATTTTAAAAATAAAAAAAATATTTCATAGTATTAATATTATTTTTTTTTACTTTGTAAACTAGTTCATTGGTCACTTACTAAACTAATTCAAATTAACTATAACTAAATACTTATATATATATATATATATATATATATATATAAATATTCACGCGCGTACAAAAAAACATATTTACAATAATTTGTAATGCAAATACAATGTATACAGATAATACAATACAAATATCTATAATATGATATACCGTTCTAACTTATAAATTTAAATTGTACTAATTAAAAAAAATCTCTTTGAAAATTATCTACTTTCATAGTTATTTATGAATAATTGTTGGAGTGAAACGCATTTTTAACTTCCCGTAGGGTAATTATAGTAATGGGCCAAAAATCGAAAATATTTCTTTTTTTGCATATTTTTCACGTTTTGAAGGTTTCTGAGAAAAGGTGTGTGTGAGTTATATGTCCGAATTTTTTTCGTCCATATTTTCGGGCGCACGGATCTACCGATTTGAATGGTTCAACTAACACTAGATTCCTATTGATAGGGAGATGCTGATTAGTTTTTGGCAGAGGCAGGTCCAGCCGTTGCGAAAATACAAAGCTAAATGTTCAAAAAATGGCAGTTTTGGAAAGAACTAAGCATCCGATTTGAATGATTCAAAGAACTTTCTGCGTGTTTTCACAAACTAATTACTTTTGGGAAAAATTGTTTCAATTTTTTTCTGAATTTCATTTTTATTTCTGTTATAATATACATCAAACCATAATTTCAAATTTGTAATTCATTGAATATAATTCTTATAAATATTAGACAATGCTACAATATTTATAATAATCAAACAAATAATACAACATTTAATACAGTAGTTTTCTAAAATTCTAATTCTAATTCTAACATTTTGTTTTGGTTTGAGATGTTCTAGCAACTTGACATAAGGTATAATGCCATACACCATTAGTTCTTTCTCAAGTTTCTCGTAAAGTTCACTTACTAAGCAGGAAATACTTAGTCAAAACACTATCTTCATGAAGTAAAAACTGTTTTATTTTATTTAATATTCTTTCCGGTGCCATATCTTTTGTATTATTTATATACGAGTAATATGCGATTCCCTTTGTGATTTGCCTGATTTTGTTGCGATCTTAACAAATGTTTGCTCAGTTCGTAATTACAAGAATATTCAGTTCGTTACTCATCATTTTACACTCGCTCATTTATAAATAATTTCCAAAATTTCAGCACACTTGTAATTTAAAACTGGCTGTTCGTTCAAAGAATAGGATGAAGTTTCATATATAAATAATTGAAGTTTAAGCCATAAAAAATGTCCGCTCGGTCCGAGCAAAGTTTCCTCTGTGTAACAAAAAGATCGTCGTCGCGTAGAAACTAGTTTGCTCTAAAATGAAAAACGCGCACATGCATTATGTATTGGCCAACTGGGAAATCCGTTATTTCAAACAGTTGTATAAGATTGCTACGACTAATAAAACTTTTATGGTATCAAAGCATGTTTTGATATTAGTTCAAACCGACTGGGATTTTGGACTCTCTGTATATCGACTTCCGTGTCGTGCGAGCTTTTTAAAAATTGCTAAGCTATGTTTTTGAGTATGAAATGATAAAATATAGCGTTTTGCATAAACGCAAACTATTCCATTCTTTTGTATTCTGTACACAATAAAACAGTGTAGAACTTCGCATTAAACTATTCGCGTAGAAAAAATTAACTTGCCGTAGGGTAAGTTATAGTAATGGGCTGAAAATCGAAAACAAAAATTTTGGCATTTCTCGACGTTTTGAAGGTTTCTGAAAATTTTGGCATACCTCAGAAAAAATGGATGTGTGTGTGTGTGTTTTGTATGTCCGCATTTTTTAGTCCACGTTTTCGGGCGCACGGATCAACCGATTTGAATGGTTCAAAAAAAAACATTCGATCCAATTGATAGGGCGATGTGCTGATTTGTTTTTGACAAAAGCAGATTCAGCCGTTACAGAGATACGGAGCAAAGAGTGCAGAAAATAGAAATCGAGTTTTTGAGAGAACACAGTATCCGATTTGAATTATCTAAAAAACATTCAATTTGTAATGATTGGGAGAAGAGGTGATTAGTTTTAAGCAAAGGCAGGTCCAGCGATTTCTAAGACACAGAACTAAATGTGCAAAGAATGACAGTTTTTGAGAAAACTAAGCGTCCGATTTGAGTTTGTGCTTGTTTCAACAACATAATTGTTTTTGTGAAAAATAATTAGGACACGATGCCAAGCACCCTACTAGTTAAATTCAAAAAAGTTAAGATTTGTGATTTTTTTCACAATTAACTTACCGTAATGGGCCAAAAATTTCGATTTTTGGCCCATTACGGTAAGTTTTGCATATCTTCGCGTTTCAGGGGTTTCTGAACATTTTGGCATACCCCACAAAAAATGGTGTGTATGTGTGGAGACAATTTTTTGTCGACGGTTTTGAAAAAAACATTCAACTCCTAGTGTTAAGGAGACGTGCTGATTAGTTTTTGACGCAGACAGGTCCAGCGGCTTCG